TTTTTTTATCTAAAAAAATCCCTCAGTTCAAACCTTTGTCACAAATTTCAGAGCCTAAGTAAAACATTTTAAAAGAAAAAAAGATCAATAAAAGATTTAGATAAGGCTTTTATCTCTTATTTTTCAAAACTTGAACTGGACTGCAACAGAAGTGAACGCACATCCACGTCAGTTTGTCGGCCTCTTCTATGTTGAAGCATTAATCTGTTTTTCATTTGTATGTTCACATTCGTGTGTTTCAGGCTACCAGCTCTGTGACAACAGCGTGGGCGTGCTGTTCAACGATTACACTCGTCTGATCATGTACACCGACGGAGACAGTTTGCAATACATTGACAAGACGGCGACCGAATCCTACCTCAGCGTGCGCTCATACCCCACGGCTCTCAACAAGAAGGTCAGGAGCGGACGCTGCTGATTTCAAACTTTTTCTTTAAACCTCTTCAGTCACTTTACGTGTTTATTCAATTATTTGACATTTTTGTGACGTCATGTTCTCTTCTCGTAGATCACACTGCTGAAATACTTCCGCAACTACATGAGCGAGCACCTGTTGAAGGCTGGTGCCAACATGGCACGGCGGGAAGGAGACGAGCTGGCGCGGCTTCCGTATCTCTCCCTCTGGTTCAGAACGAAGAGCGCCATCGTCCTGCACCTGACCAACGGCACCGTTCAGATCAACTTCTTCCAGGTGAGTTACACACCTCGTCCTCCACATTTTATTTTTCCTCCTCACAAAAATGTCTGTAGCTATGAACCAAGTTCACCCGAAACATTTTTGTCTAAATTAAAAAAGTCTTATGCTAGAATCTCCACTTGCTGATTTCCACTCCTCGTCCATCTCACGTTAGCTGTTGTTGAACGCTTTCATTGACCTTCCTCTGCCAGGACCACACCAAGCTGATCCTGTGTCCACTGATGGGCGCGGTGACGTACATCGACGAGAAGCGAGAGTTCCGCACCTACAAGCTGTCGCTGCTGGAGGAGTTCGGCTGCTGCAAGGAGCTGGCCAGCCGCATTCGCTACGCCAAGCTCATGGTGGAGAAGCTGGCGGACAGCAAGCCCCCCACCACCGCACATTAGACCCCAACGTCTTCAATCACCGACCTCCTCTCCCAGTCTGGCTGCGTCTCGCCGGACGGGACAGACTTAAATCCTCCTGTATTTTATCCACGGGTTGCAGTGTAATGATTTTTATGTCGTCTCTGACGCTCTGAAACGCACCTTGACGATTAAACTCCCAGGTGTTGTACATGAAAATTTAATTTCAGTCTCTCAGCCACTGATTGTTCTGCTTTTTTTCTTTTTTTTCTTTTGTTAATAGAAACTCACTTGAACTCTTGTTATCTTAACTCTCTTGATGAAGCTTACTCTTGACAAACACATTCCCACTGATGTAATCTGAGGGAGCCGGATCACTGACACAACGCAGGATCTGACCCCGTTTCAATGAATCTATTCGGGGAAAGTTACACGTTTGGTTTCAAATTCATCTTGACGTTGAAACAATCGTTCCTCTTTTCACTCTTCTTATGGTTTGTTTCCACTTGTTCATGTCTGAGACTGTGTGGATGGAAAAGGCTTCTCTGCTTTCGTCTGTTTTATCTGTGTTGTATGTTGAAACTCACCACGACGACACGTCTTCATCATGTACATCCTGTAGTTTTACTCCTTTTTAAAAAAATATCTATTTTAGATTTCTTCTACAAGATGTACACACATGTACATAATGCTGAATATGCCTACATGTTGTAAAGATGGTTTAATTTTACCCAAGTTTAAATAAAGATGTTTTTTGAACAAGGTAAAAAACTGTTGTTGTCACGTTTACTTGTTTTTGACAGAAGTCTGTGAAAGTTGAAGAAAATGGTGAGAAATTCAGATTAGAACAGGAAATGTTGTATTGTCCAGTGACTCAGCATTAAGAGCTGTATCTTTCTGAACTCTCATGGTTTCTCCTGAACAGTACAATCTCTTCAGTCCGACTGCTCATCACTATTTGAGAAAGATTTTAAAGCTGATTCTGAAGAACAACACTTCGTAGAGGCTAAACTAACAGAAGTTTGAAACACTGAAAAGTTATACCTTAATCTTGAAATCACGTTTTTTGTCATTGCAAATGAAATAAATGATTTAGTTCAGCTTGGTGACTTGAGAATCTTTAGTTTCCTCCAGTTTAAATTTTAGTTGGGAAAAATTGTGCAGCATATTCTTTTACAAACGTCTGGACATTTTATTTTTAATGTCTGAGATTATAACACCTTTGCTTTTGCATGTCCACCATTTTGCAAAGGCGAACCATGACTCTCATTGAGAATCATTTACAACATTGAGGTCTTTCGGGGGGGGGGGCGGCTGCTCGGTGAACAAGTCCCAGGATTAATTCATCCTGCCGATCAAAAGGTAAATAGGTTTTTATTTAAAGGAAGAGGAAAGTTGAGTTGTTTAAATTGAAAAAGTTCGCCAGTGTCAAAGCTCTGAATCCTGTTGAGTGACTGTTAGTGTCTCCTAGTGGAAACTACGACCCATTACAGCTTCATTTATAGGATCCACAGCTCGACAAGCATCAGGCTACTTCGCCATGAAGTGAGGGTGAAGCATTTCACTGACACCAGCTTTGTCACACACAGTGAGAAATAATCTGGGTCTAGATTATACTGGATCCTACTCGACTCTTTCAGGATTATTTATGGTGTCGACAGTAAAGAAAAAACCTTTCCGAACCTTCAACCCAAATAAAATGTCAAGTTACTGACATAGTTTAAAAAAACACTAGATACAAAATAAAAACACTGAATTCACATTAGTTTAATGTTAAATTTTATATATAAAAACTTTTTCTTTAAATATAACATGTAGTTACAGTGACATAAAAAGTGGAAACTCACAGTGTCATTGTCTCACACACACACACAGGTTCAGTGATGAGACATCCAGTGTTTCCATTTTAAAAACAATTTCCACAGGCTGAAGGAAAACACACATTCCATCTTTAAAGCTTTACAAACAGGCCACTGACTTATGGGAAATGTTCAGTTTACAGTAAGTAAACCTCATATCTGAGCTGAACTGTGGCCCGATGACTGCATTGTGACCCAGCTGCTTGAACTCAGTCAAACTGAAACGTGTGTACACGAAGCCACAGAACCTCAAACATCAGACGCGTCTCTTAACTGAGACCAAGTTAAAACCTTTGTGAACATTCAAACGGGGACAGAAAGACGTTTGCGTTTGATAAAAGTCATTGTGAGAATCTATATTTTCCTGTAGCAGTGAACAGTGACATCTCCTGTGTGATGGCCGGTCACCAGCGTGTCTGGCCCCCCCCAACGAGCCAGCTGCCAGCCTTCACTCTCGGGGGCCCACACCATCCTCGAGGCCCCCGGACGCCCAAGCTCCCACACGCACACGCAGCCGCTCTGACTCAGACCGACCACGTTGGAGCAGTTGACATCAGCTTCACACAGTCTGCAGATTCAGATTGGAGCGTTAGGCACATGAACGTACGAGCGCACAAACACACCACAGTTCCTCGTCTCACCTGCCAGACCAGGCTTCGGGGGGGTACAGTCGAGTAGCCAGCACGGATTTGCCGCTCAGAGCGTTAACGGCGACCAAGGAGAACAAGGCGGTCCGCTTCCTGTCCTCTTCAGAAAACATTTCATCTTTTGCTTTGGCCTCATTTTCTACATCCTCCAGGGAGCTGAGCAGCTGATGCTGTAGCAGGACAAACAACACGCCCTGTGCACAAAAATACACATAATCTGAGGAGTGAGGTCGTTTCTGTGGCATCGGCAAAAATCAGACATGCAAAGCGAATATACTCACACAGTGAGAGTATCCTCTGAGACAGGCTGTGTGTGAAAAACCGTCTCCAAGGACGATCCTACGCAGCAGCTGGCCGCTCTTCAAGTTCCTGAAACAAACAAACAAACGATAAAAATAACTGAACAGCAGCAGAGTGTGTGTGTGTGTGAGCATCACACCTGGATATTAAAGAGCTTTTGACATTTCACAGCAGGAACGTGATCGCTAACATTAAAAACTAGAATCCTCAGTCCAATCCAATATGATCATTTGATTACACATAAAGAGTTGATTTCCGATTGAATCAACATCATCACACATTATCTATAGTTTCTATTAGTATTTGTTATATTTTTTTATTTGGATCCCAAAAAATTACATACACTCTTAAATATCAGTCCATAAATCCAAATGAATGACAGATACATTGAGGTGAATTAAATTGTGGCGCGAGCTTGGAAGGAATCAGTGTGCGGCTTGAGAAAAGGAGCGTCAATTTGGTGTTTGCTTCAGTGAAGCATGAGGTTGTCACAATATTTTAAAAAGCTAAGACGCCAGTGGAAAACTCAAGTAGAGTTTAACAGGGTCGACATTTACATCGAAGACATTTCACTGTAGAACATCAGCATGACACTGACATAGATTCATCCCAGTCTTACTTACCAGACAAAGACACGTCCACCCTCGTCTGTGCCAATCAGAGCATCAGAGAGTCCGTCCACCGGAGCGAGGGCCCCGACACACAGACCAGGAGACTCAAGAGGCTGAGAGCTCGGTGTGCTGAGAGAGAAGTTAAGAGAGTGAGATTACAAATGTTGGAAAGTTGCTGGTAGAGAATAAATCCAACAACTCTGCATCACCTGTTGTCGTCTGAGACGTTAAACACCCGCAGGGTTGAACCTGACGCTGAGTGGGAGGAAGTAACCACTCTGGACCTGGACACGCCCACAACAACCTGGAAAACCCCCTCACACAGCAGCACCTGTGTGAGGCTGGAGCACGAAAGCAACCTGTGCACACACACAGATAAGTTTCATTACTGAAGCTGATCTTTACGCTAAGAGTTAACCAGGTAAGGAGCTCACAGTGAATTTCTTCAGGCGGTTTATTCCAAATACGACACTGACATATGGTTTCATTATCAACATAACTTGGGATCATATGAACCTGATCTGTCTCGGAAATGTCAGATGAGTGTAGTGAAGTGTTCCCAAGGTAAAACAGGTGGAACATTAAGCTTCTATAATCTACAATCCACTTGAATCTAGATGAACGTCATTGAAAAGTACACTTAAGCTGCACATGATGAGCGTGGTGGGAGCAGCGGCCCCGAAGATACACGTCAGAGCGTCTGATTAACTGTTGTGTTCACCTGACTTTTCTGATTTCCAGCTGACCCAAAGTCACAAACAACAGCCCAGCAGCATCGGGGACAGGAAACACATTGATCACCCGCTGTAATCAAACACAACATTAAATGAGATGATAGATACGTGCTTTAACACATTTTGTATCATTAAGTTTGTTGTAAAATATTTAGAAACGTATTTTTTGGAAGAAACATTATTCACATCCATGTTTATTAGTTGTGCTGTTTTCTCTCTCGCTCTATCTCTGATGCTCAGTAAACACTCACGTCATTGAAGGTCCATGTGTGTGTTAAGTTCCAATCAGATGCTGGCGTCTGACTCCACAAACACACCGCCCATTTTCCTGCCGCCGCTACACACAAACCCCCCGAGGGTCCAGGCAGACAGCACGTGTCCACCAGACAGCCTCCTGCTGGGGCCTGAAGACACAAACACGCAAAAGAAATGTTTACTTTAATCTAAAATAGCAAATCAAACCATTAGTTCTGAGTTGTCTGGTGAGACAAACGTTGTACCTTCAGAGTGTGTGTGGATGTTACCACATGTTGCTCTGCAGTCTCCTCCATTCTCTCTCTCTCATGCCTGCCTGTGTCTCGTGACTGGACGCTGGATGCAGTTGCAAAGGTTGCCGGCTCAACGCTGGGAGGACGATGGGCTGCAGCTGACAGTTCTGATGAAGCCCTGTCCTGACTGGAGCGGGACGCTAGGGGCTGGCCGGAAAGGAGGGGCGTGATGGACGGACAGGGAGACAGAGCCGGAGAAGAGAGATCATGGGATGCTGGGCTGTGAGGAGGAGGAGGTGGCGTGAGAGCCGGGGCAGAGGGAGAGGAGGTCAGGGGGAGGCTGGAGGAAACAGGGCGAGGGGTGAGTCCTAGGGAAGGCAGCTTGGGGCTGGAGAGGAGGGCTGAGGAGGGCAGGTGAGGAGTTGTGATGGGGGAGTGTGCTGAGGTCAGCGGAGGACTCAACAGGAGCTGAGAGTGGACACTGGGATGTGGTGAAGACTTCTGACTGTTGTTCATCACTGATCTGTCTCTGGGGGGACTTGTGGTGGTGATGTGTTTGGCAGGTGATGTCAGATGCTTCACTGGAGCTTCAGTGTCGTTGTTAGAAGCCTCCTCAGCCGTTTCCTCTGGTGGACAATCAAAGCACAGAGTCTTGATGACAGCTCTGTCTTCTCTTTGGTGGTTTGTAGACGTCTGATCCTCCACAGGACAGACTACACCAGGACAATATGCGTCTTTGTCTGATGCAGGCTGTTTTATTTTTAGTTCATTTGACTGCTCAACTATAAAACCATCCACTTTGCTTGCAGGACTGTCTGCACAGTTCATGTAAGGCTGAGGTTTGACGTGGCCGTCTATAGATGTGTGTGTGTTGCTCTGGCTGAGAGTATCCACAGTATCCTGCTTTTTAGTTTCATCTACACAGTCAGTAGGGAATTCTTGAGCTGGCACAGATTCTGTTGAGCTGGTGTGAGTCTTTGCATCGAGGTTTTCAGTCTGATGTTCTTCAGGAGTTCCTGTTTTATCTCGGTTGGATGACTCTTCAGCTAAGGACTGGTCTAAAAGCTTAGAATCTGTTGGCAGGTTCTGGACGTCTACACACGCAGGTTTTTCTTCCATTGCAATGGTCGGGGTGAGGCTGAGTGGGAGAGGAAGTGGCACCACTGGGTCATCGGTGCTGGAGCAAGGATGAGAGCGAGGGAGGCGGCTGCTACTGCGAGTATTATAAGAGGGGGATGTGAAATGTTCAACTCCTGATTCAAGAGCGACCTGCCGAAGCTTGTGTAGCTTAAGAGATGCAAACTGTTCGTCAGGGAGATGAAAATCTTGGTGCATGTCAAAAGTCTTCAGGTTGTTGACCAGTGAGCCGGTGGATGGAGACGGGAGAGGAAAGAGGGATGTTTGGGCGAATGGAGAGGAAGGCAAAAGGAGAGATCGCCAGCTTGATGCACCTACGGGACATGAGGTGAAGAAAAAAGATATTAGACGATGCAGAAAGGTAAATACTCCTTGCTGTGAATACGACTTAAACCAGGGTTGATGACGTCTTTTGGTCAACTATTACAATAAGGTAGTAAAACCAACTTTAAAATAATCCTGTACCATCTGTGCCTCAGCCTATTACACTTTTATTTATGCTTAGTTTTTTAGTTTGAAAATCCAGTGAGTCACCACGTGAGACTTACTTCGACTCCTCTGTGTGGGCGTGTTTTTCATCAGAAACACGGGATAGACCTTCTGCAGATGTCTGGAAGCAGGACTACACTGAGCTCCATCAGCCCCGGGGGAAGGCTGGGTACCCATGTGGCAGGTGGACACAGGCTGATCGTTGTCTGGCAGAAGAACAGGTTCCTGAGGAGTGAGACGAGGCTTCAGTCCATCAGGGGGATGGAGCGAAGGGTAGGTGGAGAGCGGGGTGAGGGTGGGTATGTGATTCTCTGAAGTTTCCGCCTGAACAATGTCTAAACACTTAAAAGATCTTTGGGTTTGACCTCTTCCTCTGCCCCGACCTCTTCTCCTACCGCTCCTCCTCCCTGCTCCTGGATGAGTAGCGCTGACTGCAGGGGATGATGACGAATCCATGCCGTTCTGAGTTTTACTCTGGCTGTCAGCAGAAAGCTCCGCAGATGCATCAACAGTACACACAAGTGAAGACTCACAAGGATCTATCGATGCAGTTTTCACAGAGGAGAAATCTTCCTGTGTGTTTACGTCTGAACACTCACTGGTGTGTGTTTGCCTGTTCGATCCTCTGCCCCGGCCCCAGCCTCTGCGATGTCGTCCCACGCCCAGCTGGGACAGGAGGACGGCCTGCATGTCAGGTTGACTCTGCGAAGATGTCATACGCCTTGTGGTCCGGACGTAGTACTCCACTGGGAAAAGTAGTCCTTCCACTAGAGTGCAGGAGTCCAAGAGACCTGCACTCTTTTCATCTCCTTCAATCTTTTCATCTTTTATTTCCATTGTGTCATTGTGCATTTTTTCATTTTCTATTTTCTCTGTTGCAGTTTCTTCTTTTTTCTTATGGTTCTCGTCAGAGAGTGTTGTTTCTCTCTGGCCTCTAGTATTCTCACCATTGTCTCCTTCCTCTCCTTCCTTTCTTTCTCCATTTGTCGTTGGATCTCGTCCCCTTTCTTCAGTGTGTACAGTAGAGTTATGACATTTAAGCAGCAAAGAAGTCGACTCTGATTCTTCATTCCCCTCAGTAGTCGCCTCATCCTCTTTTTCCCTTTGTTCATCATCTTCTTGCATTTCCTTTCCCTCCGTATCACCTGCTTCAGAGTGTGCAGGTGTTTTCCAGTGTGTTAGCAGCAGAGAGGGAGAATCAGACTCTGACGAAGAAAATAACTCTTCACTTTTATTCACAACCTCTGCCTCTTCAGAATTGATTTTCTCCTCTTCTGCTATTGTTCTAACACTCTCCATCTTTTCACTCTGCCCCTGTAGTTCCTCACTGTTGTCAGTGATCCTGCAAACCTCAGCGCTCCTTCTTTCCCAGAGCAGGCGGCTGCGCCGAGACCTGAGCCGCAGGGCAGGACTGGATCTGTGACCTCTAACTGCGTCATGGCTGGGATCTGGGGTTTGGGGGCAAGCAGCATCAGAGGGAAGCAGGAACCTGATCACTTGGCTCCTACTCAAATGATCTGAATCTGCTGGACCTGGAAAGACATAATGAAATCTGTGAGTTTTTATTTGTTATGTTTTTATTGGCACAACATTGTCTGCTTATCAGAGAAATGACAATGTGACCTCAAACAAATGATGAGATATTTTCTGTTTTGGGTTGGACAGGCATGCAAGTAATCTATGTATGAAAACTGAAACATGAACACGTACATAAATGTACACTATGAAAGAGATTATCCGTTCTTTGCAGATGATTAGGACAGACTCACCTTCAGTGTGTCCCGGGCACTGAAGTTTATCTGAGGTCGTTGGATTGGCGGCGTTCAGTGTCACTGGACTGAGACTTGGTTTAGATGTCACCTCTGGGTCTCTCTGGTCCTGGAGGCTCTGCTGTGAGATTCTGGTCCTCACGTGTCTACGCACTCCTTCCAGACGCTCTGCACGCTGTGAACAGATCCAAAAGTTCTACGAGGACAAAGACTTTCCACAATTGACTCATGAGAAAGTAAAAGCAAAAGAGTCTGACCTGCAGTCTCTGGGCTGTTCTGAGATATTCCCTTTTTAAGAGCGCCAACTTCCTACGGAGCTGAGAGGAGAAAAGTTCATGTTTTATTTGACGGCGTAAATGATGCTGAAAAGATGTAAATGTTTGTTTATCTTTCACATTTTAAAAGTTCTTAAAAGGTATGTTTTGTTGTCAATTACTTTTATTTTAATAATATATGATTATACTGTAAAATCTTTGAGCCTCGATTGCAATTCTTTGTCACAAGGCTCTGATAATGGACATCTCAGGAATCATTGCCTATATTTTCATATATCTGGAGAG